CTAAGGTGCACCTGACTCAAGCCATGATATTTTCAATTGCCTCATATGCATGTGAAATTTGAACAATGAATAAGGAAGACAGAAGAAAAATTGATGCCTTTAAATTATGGTGGTGGCAAACAATATTGAATATACCATGGACTGCCAGAAGAATGAACAAATCTGTCTTGGAAGAAGTACAGCCAGAATGCTCCTTAGAAGCCAGGATGGCAAAACTTCCTCTCATGTACTTTGGACATGTTATCAGGAGGGATTAGTCCCTGGAGAAGGATGTCATGCTTGGTAAAGTAGAGGGTCAGCAAAAAAGAGAAAGACCTTCAATGAGAGGGATTGACACAGTGGCTACAACAACGGGCTCAAACTGAGCAACGATTGTAGGATGGCACAGGGCTGGGCAGTGTTTCATTCTGTTGTATATAGGGCTGTTGTGAGTCGGAACTGTCTAGACAGCACCTAAGAACAACAACAGAAAGAACTCTTAAAACTTAACAACAAGAAGACAAAGAACCCAATGAAAAAATGGGTAAAGGACCTGAATAGACGTTTCACCAAAAAGGATATACAAATGGGCAACATGCACATGAAAGGGTGCTCAGTGTTTAGGAAAATGCCATCAACAATTTAATAAAGCATATTAGCCATGGCTAATTCCACTCTGCTCAATTAAAATGACACCATCAAACTGGGATTTGAGGCCATTTTTAATTGCTGTGTTATTTAGAGTAGGTTAACCTGTGATAACCAATAGACTCAAACATTTTAGCACACTTCCAGGCAGACTTTTAGGGACTTAAGTGAAGGAAGTTCTGCCACCTTCAACATAGAACTCCCTGGATTGCTCTGAATATTGTCATTGCTGTGAGCTTGGAGGGAGAAAAAAAGAAATGAGGAGCCCACATAGGAAGGTTTTATGAACAGCCCTGGTTGTAATAAAAATGTCATCCACTCACATTCAACTGTAGAAAACTCAATCACTTTGCTAATCTAACTTCAAGGAAGGCATAGCAATATAGTCCAGATGAGTGCCAAAGAAGAAGAAAAAACACTTTGATGCACAATTAGAAGTGTCTGCTAATTAACAAAATTTGGAGGGAATTTTCCATGTCTGGGGGACAGCTGGATGATCCTTGTATCATTGCACCAAGCTGGCATATTTGTCTGGGGTCACAGAAAGTCGGCCTGAATGCTGGGCACATAACTGGCACTCAACAAATATTTGTTGAACAAATAAATGAGTGAATGAATGAGAGCCTTGGAAACTAATGTTAAAATTTTCAAGGATAAGGATGGCTCTTTAAATATAGCATAATGATTGACAGATCTCTTCACTCAAACTGATCTGAATTCAAATCCTGGATCTGCCACTTAATACTTTTGTGAACTTACAAGTCACTTAATCATATTGAACCTCAGTATCTGTAAAGTAGGGATGATGATAATAATATCTACCTCAAAGGAATGTTTTCGTAATTAAATGAGATTCTTCTTATAAAGCAAGGAACATAGGACAGTTGCTGGCTCATTGGGTTTAAAAGATAGTTGTTATTATTGTTACTACTACTATCACTACTACTACTACAACTACTACAGACTTTCAAATGGAAGTTGTTTGACTACAGAACCCACTTTTAACTAGGAAATGAATGTTAAAAATGTCATTTTCAGTGAAACAATTACAGATCCAATTTAATATTAAAAATAGCTTCATTCCTACTCTAAAATCCTATGGGTATATTTACTTTTTCCTATCTGGCATATGTTGCAACCTCTTTCTATGTGATCTCTGAAATGTTTAGATCTAGACCATTTGGTTTGTGAGTTTTGAAAAGTCTTCTAGTGGGATAGAGGGTTTATCATTAGTATCAGAATGATATGACCAAATGTATCTTATTATTGATGAAAAGCAATTGTGTCATGTCTCTGTTATTGTTAGTTAATATTGACTTAATACAGAATTATTGTTAATAATAAAAGTACGAACAAAGAAGTTACAATGAATTTATTAATTGTTCTTGCCTGTTTTCTATTACTTTGCATGCAAGTATAACATCAAGTCTGTATGTTGCTTAACTAAGGAAATTTGACCTCATAGCAATGCACTGCAAGTTTCTTCATTCAAAGGGCCTCAAATCTCTGTGATCTCTGAAAACTGAACTGAATATCTACTTCCGTTTTTATTTTTACATCAAAATTTACATCCAAGAATCAGAAGGAATATAAAATTTGAGAATTAATTGACCTCATTTTGAGTCCATTCTTTATGTGTGTGTATGTGATGTTTCAAATAGTTTGTCTTCCTAAAATGTTTAAAATCCTCTTAAAATTTTCATCTCTCTGGAAGTCTGTGTAATGGTACTTATGCTTCCCCTGACAACTTGTAACAAATTCACAGTATCTAGGGACATGAGATATATTTCTTATAGTCATTAAGATTTAGGAACTATTTCAATAACTGTAACTGCCTTACACTGTTTAAATTCTCATGGGGAGCACTGAAACTTAGTACCTTTCTGGTATACAGGCCATCTAATTCCTCTGTAATGCAGAATCTGATATTTCCAGCTAATCATCATGTGAGATTTGTGGATTGCTACTTTTAAATGGAAAAGAAGTCACATTCTAAACAGAGAAGTTAGCATTATTTGGAAAGCACTCAATAATTGTAGCCTAGTATTTTCTCCACAAGTACAGTTTATATATAAGTGCTTGGCTGCTAACCAAAAAGTTGGCAGTTTGAACCCACCAGCTGCTCTGCCGGAGAAAGATATGGCAGTTTGCTCTCCTAAAGGTTACAGCCTTGGAACCTAGTTCTACTCTGTCCTATAGGGTTGCTATGAGTCGGAATTGACTCGACAGCAATGGGTTTGGTTTTGGTTTTTAATGCTTTGGGGTCATAAACACAATCTCAGTAAAATAAAGGCATCAGATTAGAAAAACATGAATATGATTTATAATTTTTAGTTTCTATGATTTTATAAAGCACACCAATTATATGACAAACATAACTCATTGATT